AAAATGCAATAAAATCAAGAATCTGTGATTTGTTCATTCTCATTAACTTATTTAATTGACAAAAGTACAAAGAAAAGATTTCCAAAGTTTTCACTGACCAATGTAAATGTATTTTGTAAATATGAAAAAATTTTGATTTTGATGGTTGCAACACACTCCAAAAAAGTTGGAACTGAGGCATGTTTAACACTGTGTCACATCAACCTTCCTTTTAATTACAATGTTTCATTGTTTGGGAATTGAGGATACTAATTGTTAAAGTTTTACAAGCAAAAATTTTGTCCAGTCTTGCTTGATACAAGACTTCAGAAGCTCAGCAGTTTGTGATCATCGTTGTCTGATTCTCCTTTTCATGACTGGTCATACATTTTCATTTACATTTTTGTCTTGATCTAATAACGTTGGTTGTTGCTATTATGAAATGGTGGCAAATTGGAAGATGTCAATGTTCTATAAATTATAATAATAATAATAGCAATAATACAACCCCAATTCCAGAGAAGTTGGGACATTTTGTAAAATGCAATAAAATCAAGAATCTGTGATTTGTTCATTCTTTTTAACTTTTATTTATTTGACAAAAGTACAAAGAAAAGATTTCCAAAGTTTTCACTGACCAATGTAAATGTATTTTGTAAATATGAAAAAATTTTGATTTTGATGGTTGCAACACACTCCAAAAAAGTTGGAACTGAGGCATGTTTAACACTGTGTCACATCAACCTTCCTTTTAATTACAATGTTTCATTGTTTGGGAATTGAGGATACTAATTGTTAAAGTTTTACAAGCAAAAATTTTGTCCAGTCTTGCTTGATACAAGACTTCAGAAGCTCAGCAGTTTGTGATCATCGTTGTCTGATTCTCCTTTTCATGACTGGTCATACATTTTCATTTACATTTTTGTCTTGATCTAATAACCATGGACTTCCCATGAAAGACATCATCTTGATGGCAGTATATATCTCTGAGTCTGTACAATCCCAATATATGCCTCCATGTCAATAGTACCTTCACACATAAACCAGTCACCCATGCTCTTTGCTCTGCTGCCAAACATGATACCTTGACCTATTACCAATTCACCTGCTTACTGTGAACTGTTTCAAAACAGTTTAACGTGGATATTCTATAACCTTTTCACTTTTATTTTGCCTCTGTCCCAACTTTTTTGGAATGTGTTGCAGTCGTCAAAAACAAAATTTGTTCATATTTACTAAATACATTTACGTTGGTCAGTGAAAACTTTGCAAATCTTTTCTTTGTACTTTTGTCAACTAAATAAAAGTTAAAGAGAATTAACAAATTGTAGATTCTTGATTTTATTGCATTTTACAAAACGTCCCAACTTCTCTGGAATTGGGGTTGTACATTTTGTTTATGTTTCTATACATTTTATATGTAAAATCTTGTTTAAAAAAAACAGTGTTATTTTTATGGATAGATATGTGATATTATATATTAATATAGCTAATAATAATAATACATTTGTAAGATAATTTACATTTTCATTTAGGATAATTAAAAATAATAATACTACTAAAATATAATAATAATACCAACAATAATATGTGTTTTGTTTGTTTCATATCTGTAAACATAGCCTTGAGTTGGTTATTGCTATTATGAAATGGCAAACGTGAAATAAAGATGTCAATGTTCAATTACTACTACTACTAATAATAATAATAATATTTTTTAAATACTATACATTTTAGCTATATTTTTTTAATATATATTTATATGTATGTTTTATATAAAAAGGTTTTGTTTAAGGAGCACGTATTATGGAACACTTTTTTGAAGTAAGAGTCTGTTCATTACATAGTGTTGAGTCAGTCATAACAAAGAATTTATGCATGTAATTCCTAAAGATACTAAAATAGCAAAAATAGCCAGTGTAATTCTCCGGGTCAGAGAAAGGGTGTAAAACATTTGTGTAAAACTAAATTTGACAGTTTTTGGTTGAACTTTGGTGGATCTGTGAAGAAAAATTAAATTGCTACAAAAGTCTAGAATATGGCCCCATTAATTTACATTCATTTGAAGAACGGCCAAAAAATCTTTACTATCCAAGCTCTGGCTTGAGTCAGCCATGCATAGCATCAGCTTTATGGAGCTCACAGCCACCAGATGCCCTTAGTCGTCTCTCTGGGGTTCTGTTCTGACATAAATCAAGGCAGATGGTCCATTTCTTTAAACATTACCCCTGCCCTCCATCTCTGTGGTTCTGGGAGTTCAGTGAGCAGAACAGAAGCGAGCGCCGCTGTGGCAGGAGGGCTCCGGGAGGGTCACTCGTTTCAGGCCGGAGATGACAGACTGGCATTGGGGGGGCGAGAGGAGCAACTAGCTGCTCTACTTCATTTCTGACTGACTTATTCTTAATTATATGGTCATAGAGCAAGAAGAACATTTCCACCTTACTGCGCCCACACTCTTACATTTTTTTTTCATGCTACATTGTCTCATTGTCTTTTGAACAGTTTAATTACCCTTATACACTCTCACAAAGAGAAGAGATATTCGGGCTGCTACTTTATCTGGAATCTCATATCTGAAAGATTTTTTTTTTGATTAATGAATGTCATTTCTTTTGTGTTTTTTTCTGCTCTGTCATTCCTGTTATTAAATCATTTTATCTATTCGATTCTCTTTTCAGAACTGCATTCCGCAGTATCATTTAGGACACTGGAAACGACTTGGTGAGTTTATTAATCACCCAAACTCATTCCACTATCCTTCCCCCGAGTCATGTAAATGAGGGACAGTTGTGTGTGCTGTTTCTTATTTTCAGAAAAGATGAGGCAATACATCAGCAACCACAATCTGCCCCTTACACTGGCGGGAGCTTCCTACGATGGTGTCTCTGTCAATGATGTTATATTTAGTGGGCGGACTGCAGCTGAGGGTCGCATTGGGAAAACATGACTTACACAACTTTATTTTGTCTGCTTTTAGGGCTTTGTGATATGCATTTTGTGATTCCTGGGAAGGAATCACTAATATATGAACAACATGCTTTACTTGAACCCAGAATGGAAATCAAGAAGAGTACATCCAATTGTTTGGTGATGCAAAATCTTTAAAAAAATCATTATTAGTATAATTTGATATATCATGTTTTGTTTTCCATTAAAATCTAAATGTCCTTCAAAGAAGATACGTTGACTTCAGAAATAAAACTGAAAGGTAATAAGAGTGAAAATATTTTGTAATTTATTGGCTTGACATTTTCTTAAACATCCCTAAATGTTAATATTTCTCTTTTTTCAGTGAAAAATGAGTCACCAATAATTAACTTTACCAGTATTATCAGTTAATTGCAGCCAAATGATTGTAGAATTAAAAATTAAATGTTTTATTTTATGTTTGTCTGTGGTGAAATTGAACTTTGGATGAGGAATATTGTATATTTTCATCAGTCATTTTCATCAAAGTTTGACATCTTGGGCTGTGAAATTGTCAGTTGCTACTGGTATCTCACCAGAACTCACTCTTGCATTAGGAAAGGTTACTCTGACCTTCATTCACATTACCTCAGCACCTATCAAAAATGGCTAGGGGTAGACTCAGATGTTTGAAATAGTATATTTTCAACCGTTTCCTCCATTTGTCTGAAAGAAGATGCTGGTTTTCAGGTGTTTTGACTAGGCTGAGATGAAGTGCCATTAGATCAGGCTGCACTAAAAAACATTTTGCACTGAAAATTTCACACCATTACACTGAAGTGGTTTCAGTGGCAAATGTACAACTTATATTTTGCATTTGAGCCAAGCAGCAGATTGGTAATGGCTGTGACCGTCTGCATTGTCGTTGACTTTTTTTTTTAAAGTTTACTATTACTCAGAGAACCAGACCTTTAATTGGTGCTTGAGAGCCATTTGTTTCACACACAGATGCTTTGCAAAGCATTTCTCTTAATGTGTCACGCAGCTTCAATTTGTGATGATGTTTTATCACAGAAATGCACTGGTGTGCCTTTTTGCCTTTTACATGCAGTAATTGTGAGACATCAGTGAATGCAATTTTATATTGCATTGTTACATTATGGATCCACTAGCAATGGAGACTGATTGTGCTGTTTTGGGCCTTAGGTGCTTATGGTGAATGTGACTTTTTGTATAGTATGTAACTCAGCAATAATTCCATGAAAGATTTTTTCTGACAACCGCTTAATAAATGATCATGTGTTTTTGTGTGATTGTCTCAGAGCAATGGCTCTTTGAGTATGATAAATAAATGATATGTGTTTGGTTTGTTGTGTGCAATGTGGTTAAATTCTTTAATAACTTCTATCCATTAATGAACAGACAGTAAATTCAACTAGGAGTGCCTGTACAGTTTAAAGCAAAGAAGCCTGCAGCTAAACAGGAGTTAACATTAATAAAACAGAACATAAATGAAATATTTAATGTGCAAATTACACAAGCCCACCCCCTGAAACCATTATCTGACAAATGGCAAATTCACCTTGAAAAATTATTGTTTGCAATGACATGCTTCTGTTGTTTTCACCTCTGGGTCTGTTGACAGCTCAGTTGGAAAGTTATTTGACAGAAGGCACACCGTCAAACACAGACAAAGAAAGCTGCGCCTGCCAGCAACCTTGAAATGTATTGTTCCTCATTGGTTTCGTAATTCGCACATTTTAAGTGATTTCCTGTCCTGTCTGGCTCACACCACTGCAATTTTGAACATCAATACTTGTTGAAGAGAGGTGTGTTATTACTTTTTAGATTGGATTTACGATAAATAGTGCAAAAAATCCCATAGATTTACATTGTAGAACCCAAGCCTTTTGCAGAACCAGAATACCACCTAGCAACTGCATAGCAATGTGCCGAAAACACTCAATTCACTTAAGCAACAACCCAGCAATGAGTTTTGTATGGTCAAACACTATGTTTGAAATGTAAAATCTGATTAATTTATGAATTAAGTTATGGTACACAAACATAATGAGTCCAAACTATTAAATTTGCTTTTTATTTTTTGATACATTTACATTTAATCATTTAGCAGACGCTTTTATCCAAAGCGACTTACAAATGAGAACAATAGAAGCAATCAGACCAACGAGAGAACTACAGTATGCAAGTGCCATAACAAGTCTCAGTTAGTCTAGCACAGTACACGTAGCTAGTTTTTTTTTAATTATTATTAAATAATAAAATAGAATAGAATAGGTAAGTGCTAGTATTAGTTGGTCAGGTGCTGGCGAAAAAGATGTGTCTTTAGATGTTTTTTGAAAATGGCTAAAGACTCAGCTGTTCGAATTGAGATCGGGAGGTCATTCCACCAACCGGGCACAGTCCAGGAAAAGGTCCGTGAGAGTGATTTTGTGCCTCTTTGGGATGCCACCACGAGGCGCCGTTCACTTGCAGAACGCAAGCTTCTGAAGGGCGCATCAGTCTGTACAGTCTCAGTTAGTCTAGCACAGTACACGTAGCTAGTTTTTTTTAAATATTATTAAATAATAGAATGGAATAGAACAGAATAGAATAGGTAAGTGCTAGTATTAGTTGGTCAGGTGCTGGCGAAAAAGATGTGTCTTTAGATGTTTTTTGAAAATGGCTAAAGACTCAGCTGTTCGAATTGAGATCGGGAGGTCATTCCACCAGCCAGGCACAGTCCAGGAAAAGGTCCGTGAGAGTGATTTTGTGCCTCTTTGGGATGGCACCACAAGGCGCCGTTCACTTGCATAACGCAAGCTTCTGGAGGGTGCATAAGTTTTAACTAGCGAGTTTAGGTATATTGGTGCAGCGCCAGTGGTGGTCTTGTAGGCAAGCATCAGTACCTTGAATTTGATGCAAGCGGCTACTGGTAGCCAGTGTAACCTGATGAGAGGAGTAGCGTGAGCTTTTTTTGGCTCATTGAAGACCACTCTCGCTGCTGCATTCTGGATCAGTTGCAGAGGCTTGATAGTACATGCAAGAGAGCATTACAATAGTCCAGTCTGGAGAGAACAAGAGCTTGGACAAGAAGTTGTGTGGCTTGCTCTGACAGGAAGGGTCTAATCTTCCTAATGTTGTATAAGGCAAATCTGCAGGACCGGGCCGTTGTAACAATGTGGTCGGTGAAGCTTAACTGATCATCGATCACAACTCCTATAGGTTTCTGGCTGTCTTGAAAGGAGTTATGGTTGATGAACCCAGCTGTATAGAGCAGCTGTGCTGAAACAATGGGTTTGCTGGAACCACAAGAAGTTCTGTCTTAGTAAGGTTGAGTTGAAGGTGATGGTCCTTCATCCAGCTAGAAACATCTCTCAGACAGGCTGCAATGTGAGCAGCTACCGTCGGATTATCTGGTTGGAATGAGAAGTAGATTTGAGTGTCATCAGCATAGCAGTGATAAGAAAAGCCATGCTTCTGAATGACAGATCCTAATGACGACATGTAGATGGAGAAGAGGAATGGTCCAAGCACTGAGCCTTGAGAATCTTCATGAGGGTGGAGAGGAGAATCTGGTGGTTAACTGTGTCAAAAGCAGCAGACAGATCCAGCAAGATGAGTACTGAGGATTTGGAAGCTGCTCTTGCCAGTTCAGGGCTTCAGTAACCGAGAGCAGGGCAGTCTCAGTTGAGTGGTCGCTTTTGAAGCCAGATTATATAGCCTAATAATCAACACTCAAATTTAAAAAATTGTATGTAAACATGTAAATTGCACATAAGGCGGATTTACTATTATTTTCTAAATCTAATCATAAAATTTATATTAGTTGTTGAACATACATTAAATAATAAAGGCATCACAAACAGGTTAAGTAATTTAATGAATATGCTAATATTCGAGTTGCGGACACCGAATGACTTGACTGAGGTAAATGTAAGTAACGTGACATTTTGTTTACAAGCTGTTTTACTGACATATTTCTGTGGTTAAAACTCTTAAATGAGCGTTTACATGAGACATGAGATGTTCATTCATGTTTATTTCCTGTAGTATTAATGAGGAACATTATTGTGTTCACTCACGCTCTGCGCTGCAGTTAGAACTGAGGCGTAGTGATGTGTCGTTTGCGAACGAGACGGCTGGCCGATTCTTTGTAGCGAACGAGAAGAGCCGACTCCCGTCGGGGAGAGCCGAATCTTCAGCCGGAGCCTTCTATTTTAGGCCAATCGTCCAAGCGAGCCGGCCTCAGCGTGAGGGTGTATAGTGTTTAAAGGCCGAAACACCCGATGATCCTGAGTATAGCAATTGTGAATGGTTTGTGTGTTGGTAAGCAATTTTTTATTTAGTGTTTTCATAAAAGCCTTATTTTTATGCATTTTTTTGTTACAAAAAAAATAAAAAACATATGCGGCTAATCACATGGGAGGACAGACTAGGTTCATACCATTATGTGAAAGAAGGAATGGGGACACAAGCTTTGAAGATAGCGAGTCTAGTGGTACAGGCCAGGTACACAGAGCGACAGAGAGAGATAGAGGAGCCGGAATAAAACGCAAGCGCATTGGTTAAGGTAGCAAGACACTGCATTGTTGCAACATCGGTCCCCTCAGAGAGAGTCTTCTCATAAACAGTACAAATAATCACAGAGAGGAGAAATCGCATCAGCACATCCAAGCTGAGGCATCTGATATTTCTGAATGCCAACCTGACTAAAGTGTCTTAATGTTAAGACTTTTGCCTTTATTTATTTGTTTGAAAGTTATTTAAAGTTTTATTTAAATGTTTATTAATAGTATCTGTGTATTTTTTTTGTAACGAAAAAAAAAATGCATAAAAATAAGGCTTTTACGAAAACTGCTTACCAACACACAAACCATTCACAATTGCTAAATTGGGCAAAAATAGAAGGTTCAGAGTGATACTAAATAAAGTTAACCTTAAAAAGACTAAAATTATGATATTCCAAAAAAGGGCCAGAGAAATATCTGAAACATTGGACAGAAGCAACAGCTCAACAAAGTAAATTAGAATGCTACTGTCTCTAAACAGAGAATATAAATTGGCAGAATACCTAAACACAGTGGCAGACCCTAAACTAAGAAAAGTCCTGACCATGTACTCAGTGACCATAACCTCACTATAGAGACAGAGCCGGCTCTTCTAAGGGAGCCGAGCCAAAAGAGCCGAATCTTTGAAAAGAGCCGAACTTCCCATCACTACTGAGGCGATCTGTCACGCAACATCAAAGAGCGCCAAAACGGCATTTATTTTCGAATTTTAAAGAGTATTTATTTCTTATTGAAAGTAACAATATATAAAACTGGAAGTTTCAAATTAGATTCTGTGCACGCGCAGTAGTTAAAACAATGCAGTACTTTTCCAACATACCCAATTGGCTATTTTCGATATGAATACTAGCCTACCGTTATATGCTAACTACGTTCACACTGTCAGTTTTTGGGATTGACAACCGCATTTTCTTTACAGGTGTGAGTCCCGAAATGTCACGCTCACACAGCAGCTTACAGTTGTGTTTAGAATACTTTTCTGTATGAACGTGCAACGGGAGTCAAGCCCGTATTCCTTACCAGTAACCATAGCGACAGTGACCAAAGTAAATTCAAAGATGGCGACTTGCATAAAACTGAAAGTAATATCACTTTCTGACACGACAAGAGTCCAATCGAGCCGCGAGTTCTTTTGTCAATTCTTCATTAACCAACAGCAGCTTTTACATTTTGGTGGAGAGCGGACCATTTGAATCGCGCGCAGAACACAAAACTGACGGGATCTAAAACGTTCAGATGACACGCAGCTCATTTCTCCGTAAGTTACCGAAAACACACATGAAAACACGTAACATACGGTAGACGCGCGTTTGTGCGCAGAGCGGCTTTCTCTCGCACTGTATGACGTGACAGACAACTAGTTGTCCAGTCCGGTTCCGTTCACACAGCGCGTGTGTTCCGAGAATGCGGTTGTGAGTCCTGGAAATTTACAGGTGTGAGTTCGGTTACAGAATGCGGTTGTCACGCCCGTAAATAACCGAACTGTGTGTGAACGTAACCGTATTAAGGACTCGCTGTGTGAACGTGGCCCTAGATCATGAAAGTCCTTGTTGTATATGTGGAGAGCTAAGCCAGTGATCCAAATATCTGCCGTTCTGTTATTTGTCATTGTTATATTTCATGCCCACCCTTCCCATCAGTGCCTTAATTTAAATAATAAAAAAGGACAGCATATGGTTATGTCTAAAACGTTGGGGAAAAGGAAACATATGGCTGTAAAAGAGAATATGGAACAGCATGAAAGAGACACATTGGCA